TAATCGAAGACGAAAAGTCTAATTTCCTCATCTCAAGAGTCCAAGTCCGATCACGTTCGGTGTTACGATCGACTCCCGTCACTTGACAGCCTCATTTCTCCCCAAAGAGCCATTATATCATCAATATCAGATATATATTGATATATTACCCTCTCAACGTTTAATGCAGCCATAAACGTCGTATATCCCCCAGAAATCGTACTATTTCACTCAAAAACAATTAATTAACCCAAAACGCTCAATCTCTAGATCATCTGATCCCTTAAATAAAAATTGATTTCACGTAGCGGTATTTGTTTGTGATTTTGTTAAGCGGTGTCTTATAAATCTCCACTATGTGTGTATTACATGCGCCGAGGTTGGAGAAAACCAGGAAGGAAAGAGGAAAAAAGCTAACGAGACAACCAGAATAAGGAAGCAGGAAAATGTTTTGCAGTTTACAGTCTGGAGTGCACGGCAGTATGAGTGAAAAGAAAAGAAAATAAAATAAAAGCAAGGGGTATGTACAGAGGCTACACTCTACTCGTATCCCAGCGGGGTCGTAAAGTTAAATTAAAAATTTCCATGCGCGACGCCAACGTGATGCCAGCCAACCGACGTGGCTGTTGAGAATAGTGAAAAGATAAAGATAAAGAGACCAAGAGAGATAATAAATAAAAGTGGTGAGTCTAGACAGGGACAGAGATAGAGATAGATAAAGGATTGGATGTAAAGGGGATTTCTGGGTTGGCTGTTGGTGTAGCTGGTGCGACCTAAATGGTTGGTACCTATACAGCGTACTGCACCGAGTCCTCTCCGATTCCGACGCTCCAAAGGAGATTAGGTTGGTTTAGGTTCCGATCCTTTCGATAATAAGAGCTAGCTGATGCTACCGGGGGAATATATATATGGGTATATGTATGTGTATATTGAGCATACTGTAGTTGGTGGAGCAGAATGTAGAGCAAGGATGGGAGGAGGTTCAAGAACGGCGGCCCAATTACGGCACCTCCGAGTTCCACAGCGCCGAGAGTCACCCGTTCTGTTTCCCGGGTCCCGAGTTCGACCGGAAAATTATTAGGGGCTGGTGGCGAGGGGAATCTCGGATCGGGAGCGGAGCGAGGCATCTAGCCAAGAGGAAATGAGACAAGACCACACCGGCGACAGGTCGATAGTTTCTATCAAGCTAATATCTGCTTTGCTTGTCCCACAATAACTTGTGTGCAATTGATAATAATCTCGACTAGACCACCGACTAAACTCGCTACGGACTTTGGGTCTTCCTATTATCTGTTATATGTAATAGCTATTCTCTAATGCAATTTCGAAAACCAAATAAATACTACTCACACTGTTGGTTAATCAAAAATCGACCCATGACTTATTTGCTCCAGTGATGAGTTTTTTAAAATTTATTTGACGGTGAAAGAAATTTTTGCAGTAGTGATTAATAAAATAAAAAATTTTGGCATTTTTTAAAATCATCAGCACCGCGACCTAGAATTCAAAATTCCGAGTAAAATGACTAGTCGCACTCTATGTCAATTAATAGTCTTTAATTAAAAGAATCGCGTTAATATTTTATTAATCAATTAATCAAAAATTGACCCACGACCGATTGCATCGAGCGACACGTCATTTCACTCGAAATAAAATGAGGATTTCATAAAACCAAGAATAAATTGAAACAAAAAATAATCTGACCTAAAAAGTAACTGAAATGGTAAAAGTACCCTCAATACCTGATAAATAAAAATAGCTACATAATATTAAATAATTTAATAGCTTTCTCCATGATATTACAATCCAAAAACATGCTCCGGTCGTGTTATGCCCGCAATATTTTTTATTGCTACAATTTAAAAACTATTTTATGAGCTATTGTTGTGTTGCTATTATTTTATTAACAATCCGCGTGTCGTGAGCATTACTTTAAGAGCCTTTTGTGGGATCTACAAGTTTTATTGTGCTGAAGAAGTTAAACTTACACGCTCTAAAAAATAATTACTTTACCCTCCAGAGAAATTCATTTAAAAGATAACATATTTTTTCTCCACTTTTTATAATACAATATTCCACGAAGACATTTATTTTTTCGACAGCCCTCTTTCTCATTAAATCTCTATTTAATGTCATTATAATGATATTCAGCAAATCCGTTTTACGATTAAATATTAACCTTTGGTCCAAAGAAATATTAACTTTTAAATAAAAAATAGCAACAATAATAATGATAAACTGTGGTGGTAGAAATAAGAGAAGAGAAGCGCACGAATTGCTGGATGGAAAACGTAAAAAGGATTTATTGGGTAAATAAGTAGACCGGGTACTACACGGAAAAGGAAAACCCAACTAAATATTTGTGTGAACCAGGAACACTCGGTGAGGCGTGTTCTCCACTGGTCTACCTTTTATATATATATACACACTTATTTTCCGTCCTTGTCGTTCTCCAATCTACGGTCATACTATCCCATGTCCCCAGGAGACAGAGTAGATCCATATACATACATATATAGCAAAGTAAAGGGAGAGAAGCGCAGCTAGAGACCGGTCGATAGTTCGCGCGTAGCAACAGCCGGCTGGGCTTTTTATTCGACTTTTAAAACCGCTCACTGCGCCACTGTACCGCGTTCTTTTTCATCCCTTCACCCGTGTCCACCTTTATCACCTTTTTCTCTACTTAAATTTCCTCTTAGTCCGCTTTTTTCTCGTCCCTGGTCATTTCCACGATTTTACAAACTCCAAATGCCCGCATTTTTATTTTTACACTGAATAATTATTTCTTGTTCATTAAAAAAATTATTTACAAAACTAATCAGGGTAATTTAGGAGCATTTGCTCTCTGATAGTATATATTATATATACATATAATAAGGACTGGTCACTCTGAGGGCACAACCGAGCGGCACCGCGCCCTTGTCAGTCGCTCGATGGTACGTGAAAAATCGACAAAAGGAATCTCCGAGGGAATGACCCATCGTAGGCGGTAAAAAATAAAATGAAAGAAGAAACCGTAGATAGAGATAAAGATAGAAGAGGATGAGGGCGAGGGTAGTAAAAGGAAAATAAAATAAAGGCGAGCCGTGAGAGTGAGAGAGAAAATGAGGCGAATTGATATCGATAGGTCAGTCAATGGCAAGCCTTCCTCTGGTATTTTTTTTTATTCAGTTTACTTCTTTTTCAGTCTCTTCTTTAATGTTCCCAGATACAGCCTGAAAGCGGACCACTCTCTGATTGGAATCAATTTCAAAGCGACTAATGTTAACACGTGACAACGTGTGCTATTATGTTCATTACATAATGGGGTGATTTATATCGTACGTGTAGTTGATCCAGCTAATAGTTTATTTAACCGAGTTACCTTTGTTCCTCGGATTAACCTGATTATCGACGACTAACCGAGGTAATTAACCCACCTAATTGCCAATAATCAGGTACCAGGTAATCAGGAAACGCCCTTTACTTATTATTTACGTTTTTTCATTCTCTACTCTACTCCTCAGTTAGGTGTGTCGTTTATTCCTGACAATCTCATGTCAAACTTTGTAGACTCTTTAGTTTAAACTATCCTTTAATCGTATAGTTAATTGTAGAGTGTATCAATTTTTTTTAATAAAAATTTATATAATATTTTCACCAAAAATAAAAGAAAAATTGCAAATTTGGTATATTTAATTTCAACCTTTAATAACTTTTAAGAAAGTAAGTTTATCAAAAAATTATAAGAAACCTTTTTGGTACACTGATAAAAAGATTTCTTAGTATTTAAAAAATATTTTTTAGTATTTAATAAATATTATAAGTATTAAGAAAATATCTCTTAAATACTAAAAATATTTTTTAAATACTAAGAAATGATGTTTAACAAATCGACTTTCTAATTAGCAAATTGTCTAACTCCATTTTAGAGAATCTTCCATTTATATGAAAAAACAATTGATTCAAAATTTAATATCACTAAAAAAAACCATTTAATATCATTAATATCTAATAGAGGTATAATATTTTGGGTTGGATCATTCAAATAATTTATAATTAGACTATTGCTGTATCAAAATGTTAAAAAATCACCCTCTAAAAAATAAGGAGTAAGATTAATTGCTAGTTAGACTAAAATGATTTCTTAAATACAAAGAAATTCTTCTATAAGTATAGGGAATTTAATTTCCTACAAAAAAATATACAAAATTTTCCGATCAGTTGCTTGTAAGCCGAGATATAAAATTCCAAAGTTCAAAAAGATTTTTTCGCATGTTTATTTAAATAAGTGTTCAAATTTTGACAAAAAATTTTTTTTATATTTTTGATACACTCTAGTGTGTAGTATTAGAGCCTACTTCTTCATCATCATCATCATCATCATCATCCAGAGCGCGTACTTTTCGGTACCGGCAGTACAGTCTATAGTCTAGAGTATTTATACCTCCATCAGTCTCTGAAGTGGATCGTTACTACAGGGGAAATACAAGGTCTAGCAGCTCTAAAAGCATCACCAGAAACGGTCGTCAAATTTTAACGGCAGCAGGAGAGAGCTACTGTTAAATGCAGATGAGCTGATACGCCGTCGTGTTGTACTACTACTTAAACTCAGCTGTGTATTGGTTTTTGTGTGTTATGTTGGTGTGCAGGAGCAGGAGCAGTATCTTACACATGGCGACAACGGATAAGGATAAAGGATAAGTGAAAAGAAGTACAAGCTAAGGGAGGGGAAGTTGAAGAGGAGTCTGAAGTACAAGAGTAAGAGCAGTAGTTGTAAGATGAGTACTTTGGATGAGACAAGAGGAAGTGATCGTAAAATGGGAGAGATGCCTGACTGGTTGGGAATACTCAGGCTTCCTTCTTACTCCTTATTCCTCATTCCTTCAGTTTTGTTCCCTCTAAGAACGAGATTTACTCCAAGGTCGAGGAGAATATAAATCCTGTCACTTCTTCACACTTGGGTTTAATTTTTTTTTAGCTTTTTTTTATTGTCAAACGACAGGAGAGGGATTGATAAAAAAACGTTGTCTGCTAGCTAGTCAACGGATATCTTTAAGTTCGCGGGCTGAGTAACGAGGAAGGATGTCCCGAGAGAGCACTTCTACCGGTAACTCGATTCCTGACAGCTCGAGGTCACACTTGGACAGATTGTTAGACACTGACAACCACAGCTTTTAATTAAATGCTTTATCATTATCGTGATTATCGAATTTTAAGAAAATTTACTGACTAAAGCTTTTAAATTACCAATTAGATAAATATTATTGATTATTTGCGATGGTAAGTCTTTATTAAAAGGTGTGAAATACTTTTGATTACATAAAAGAATAATAAAAAAGAATTTTTTTTTTTTTATTTGCAACTGTAAATTGTGCACTTTGAAATGTAAATATAAAAAGTGATTATCGCTCGGGAGATTTGTTACTTTACTTATCGATTGTACAAGCCGTGATAAATATTATTTTTCAAGTGCATACAGACTATGTGTATGTGATGTGTAAATGTGTAATCACGGGTATGGCCGCTGTTAATCATCCAAGTGTGAATTCGACGCGGTTGGCCAACTGACATGTAAACTGTCCAAGAAGTAATATTAGCGTGACCCGTGTATACGTTTTCTACATTATAAGTATAAGCCAGTTTACTTTAGACGGCTAAACTATTAAACTTCAGGGTATATAAATCTTGTGTCAAATATTTCACACGGGTACAAATTAACGCGCAAACGTGATCATTATTTTTTTTTGTGTTTAATTAGCTGGGTAATTTTGTGGATTTAATTTTTTTAAGGTGTAATTTAAAGAGTTTTAGATAAAAAAAAAAAACACTTACGATTTGGCCGTTGTTGTAAGTCCGACCGGAACTTGCTGGGTCATTTTTATTCTTGAACGCTCGGTAATTGTCCTTCAGCTGTTTTCCATACTGTAAAAAAAAAAATAATAAAATTTATTTTCATTTTTAAATAACTTATAAAATCCTTATGATTCATTTTTTAATAAAAAATTTTTTTCTATTAACAATCAGATAAAAATTTTAATGAATAATATTTAAATTAAAAAATAGAACTTAATAAATTTAATCTAAAACTAGCAACCTTACAGTCACTATGTGACTGCCGTGATATAAATAAAATTTTGCTTTATTAAATAATGACTTTTGTTAAATTGCACAGTACTTTTTTAACTATTGACGTTTTTAAAGATATAAGCTCATCCCAATGTTACACTCATCAAGAGCTTTCATTTGAGTACCCACATGCATTTTTATATATTTTTCATATATACATATATATAATATATATTTTAAAGATATAAGCTCATCCCGATGTTAAACTCATCAAGAGCTTTCATTTGAGTACCCACATGCATTTTTGATATATTTTTCATATATACATATATATATAATATATATAAATATATAAAAAATTGATGTGGGTACTCAAATGAAAGGACTCGATGAATGTAATGTCGGGGTGAGCTTATATTTTTAAAAATGTCAATAGTTTACAATATACAAGGTTATTTCTTAATTATGTATCTAGAGATAGAGAATTTTTGAATGTAGCTTAAATACTTGTCATCAAAAATTGACTATTAGTGAGAATGATATGAAACCTTGAAAAGGCACAACTTTGAGTCAAGACCTTTCTAATGATACTTAATTTAATTATAAAAACCCATTTTATCATATAAATACATTGGCCACATAATTTTTCTTATTCTCTTCATAATGTAGATTATTCAACTAAACCTTAAAAAAAAACCCGATTTTTATCTTTAATTATTTAAAAATAAAAATGGAACATTTGAAATTTAATTACCGGCGCAGAGTATTATACCGTGGGTATTATTTTTGGTAAATAAAGGCATTAACGAGTAGTTGATTTGAGAATTATTAATTACATTGTTCATCGAGTATATTATACAGTGTAGTGTATATCTAAGTAGTATGCAATTAATCGAGGAACGGTTTACTACCGGGGCTTTGTTGCTGGGTGAATAGTTTCCTGATTACATAATACTGCCAGAGAGAATTTATCTCGAACAAAATTATTATTTTTATTATTCCGAGGGCAATTAAAAAACTAAATAAATAATTTAAGTTGATATAAATATAAATAAAGTTTTAATTTTTAATTAAAGGAAAAACAGGGTATTTGCAGACTGTAAGAAGTGCTTGTTGAGTAAGAGATTTTTTCCTCGGCAAAGAGAGGTGATTTGTCGATAGCTCGAGGGCACAATAAGAGTCTCGTCGCGACGCTAAATTTTCACGAGACTAATGCATTATTCTGTAATAAAACAAGTGCTCTATTACGGTAATAAAAAAATCCATAGTCTTGTTTTATTTATTTCTTTTGAACTCTATTTATTTTAGTTTCGTCTGATATCGGTCTACAAAAAACCTGTTTCATTTTTTTTATTTAATTTTGAGTATTTGAAATGAAAAAAAAAGTTTTTTTACTTTTTAAATTTTTTTCTCAACTTCAGAGGCAATAAATTCTTTGGGCTACATTAACATACTGAAGTTTTCTAGCGACAAGATAGGAACAATAAATAAATAAGCTATGCAAAAAAAAATATCGACGAATGTGACATTTAACAATTCTACAACTTCGAATAAATGAAAATAATAATAAAGTAAAATCAAGTCTAGAAATAATAATAATAACAACAATTAAAGATAATAGCCATAAATAAGGCACTGGCGAAGTTTAAGTTGACGTGTCTGAAGAAGAGAAAACGAAGTTGAAGTTAAAAAATGGAGTTTGAAAAGATAAATACAACCTTCTGGGCAACGGGTACAACTTCTCGGTCCCTGACAGGAAAAAAAGGCCGTAATGTGAAGACCAAAAAAGAAGCAAGCCAGAGATGTTGAAGCTAATCCGCGTGTTGAAGCGTACAGCAACGGACTTTAATATAGAAGAGTGGAGTTTAAATAAAAGTTAACTGAGAAGAGTTACATTAGCCGTCAGTCAGTCAAAGGCCAAGCTAGACATTGCTCTCGAGGTTCTCTTCTTCAGCAAAACCGCCGTATCAGTCGGCGAAGAATAAGAGTACCCGAGAATACCGCGTTAGCTCGAGAATCCGGCCTTTTATTTAACATTTTTTTGTTAATTTCTTGATACTCTGGTTTTTTGTCTGAGTTTTAGTTTTTAGCAAATCTTGTGAGCTGGTCTCGGGCTTCCTGCCTCCTTTGGTGGAAGACGAGTCGATCACAAGGGAAGAAAGCCCACTAGAGACCTTGCGTCAGGTCTTGAGAGTGGTCTGAGCCGGTACTTAGCCACCGGAGAAGAAAAGAATAGAAGGAACTATATACCCTTAAAGAGTTGGATAATAGGGCGCTCCTAGCATTCTACCGTTATAGAGATTCAACACCACCACAACAGTCTGTTACTCTCACCCTCACCCTTATGTAATACTGAGCCTCGTTACTTTACTTTTAACCTCCACCCTTGTTAGACTTTATGTTGCCGTACGGCTACTAACTACCTCTCTCTTCAGCGACACCTTTAAACATTTACTGACTGGTCTTTAGTGCAAATTACAGCCGAATTTTTTTTTTATAAAAAAATATTAATTTTTATTTTCATTTTAAGCCTCATATAGTTTAATATGCCTGTATTTAATTTTTGGTCAAAGTTAGTTCTAAAAAATTCCGACAGGTGGCGCATGGTCGCTTTATCCTCTCGCTGTAAGAGAGTTCAAACTTGGTATATATACTTCTTACTTAATTATAATAAACATAATGCATATTAGATTATTTTTTAAGGCCACATAAATTTAAAAATAATATATGAAGTCAAAAAAATAATTTTTATATTTTTAAAATGAAAATAATGTGTAGAAAATTCAAATTTTAAAATAAATATTTGATAATTTATTTTTTTTTCTTATATTTAGTATAATATGGTCATATATAACCAGATTAAGTAATATCAGGTCTGATATTAAAATTACCGGTATCAAAAAATATTTTCGCGAGCTGAATAATTCACCAATAGCAAGAACTAGTTTAATGATGAATAAATATCGTCTATAATTACCTTGGCAAGTCTCATGGCTTGGTGCCAGCAGGTGTGAGACTTTTCCGTGTTGAAACCAATGACCTTGAGTCCGGAGACTCCGGGCTCGGTGTCTTCGGCGTCAGCGTTGCTGGATGGCCTCAGACAGGCGCCCCACTGAAAGGGCGCGTTAAAAAGCTTCTTTGTGTTCGGAATCTTGTATATTTGGTAATCCGACAAGTGGGCGAAGAGGATTCTATGGTTGTCTGCGCTCTGTAACAAAAATCCCAAAAAAAATGATAAATAATTTATAGATTGTAAAAATAAAGTTTGATTTTTTTTAGAACTGGCTCTTTAAATATTTTAGCAGTTGCATAATAGAGGAAATAAAAGCTCGATGAATAAATGCGATGTGTGTTTTTATATAATATTTAAGAGGAGCTTCGAAGCGATAGTTAAGACTCGGAATGTGTACTCAGCCAATATTGTAATTTAGCAAGTGTGACAACGATAGTGCACTTGTGTATTCATCGGAGCACTCTCCTTGTAAAATCCTGTTGCCAGAAGCCGGAGTTCTGTGTTGGTAATATAACTACGCTCTGAGCTAGGCGTTCCTCAGGTACAGCCCATAATGCATCAATGTAAATATTTGAAGATTAGCTTAGCTTGTACATACATTTATTATATATATGTGTGTGCTTTCGTGATGTCGCCGTCATTTTTCTTCGCTATTACTTTATACTAGACGAACAGTTGTGCAATAAAAAAAAATTAAGACTTTAAATAATAAATTTTTAAACTCTGAAAATATTAAAATAGAATTTTGTAAATTTTTAATAAAGAAAAAAAAAGTTCAAAATTATTCTCTGTTTTTTACAAATTACATTTTTTTGTATTAAAATTATTATATGACCAAAATACGAGCATGTATGCGGCTGTAAAAAAGTAGAAGAAACCGTTAATTTGAAAGGATAATACCGACGATTAGATAAGAATTGTCAATAGTAAAAAACGTCATTGTTATAAAATAAATAAAAAATACAAAAGCAATTGGTGTAGGTCAGAACCTTGTAAGCGTTATTTGTTTGTTTATAGTATCGCTTACTCGCCGAAGACTGTAAGTAATGTAGTATAGTGTGGAAATGGATTTGATGCCTTAAAAAGAAATAAAAGATCGAATGTGGCAATGTATTTGCGTTATTTATTTAATCCTAAGATAGAGGACTGGGAGGTTGAGGCTTGAATCGAATAAGTTAGAGCCGGGTTGACTAAAAATAACAGAAGACAGAATAAAAAAGTTAAAAGCCGATGGTTTAGGCCTCGAATAAAGTTGATCGACGAACAAGTCTGCTCCTTACAGGACTAACCGGTTTCTGAATATAATTCCAGAAGCCTAATTATCCGTCCATGATTAAACGATGAGTCAACGTGTTCGAAAAGAGTAAAGGCATAAAAAACGAGGGTCAGTTAATAAATTCACGTTGTTTCTGCCAGCTAAATTTGTTACAGTCACCAGTAAGCGGAAGGACGCTTTATCTCTTCTCTTCTCTAGATAATTCACTCTCTGTATTATAGCACACACACTCCTGCACATTATTATTTTTATTATATTTATTATTATGATTAATTTCACCTAAACAATAAAAAGTTATCTCCGCTGATGACAACCCATTTTTTTTTTAACAAATATAAATTTTAAATACGTAAATATATACATAATCCGTAAATATATTTATAGACGGGATTTTGGCACACGTTTTATTCTCTCCATCATCACCCTGTAATTTAATGTTTATAAAATTCTCCGATAAGAACACATAAATTACTGGCCTCGTATTAAATTTTATCCCAAGTAACCGGGCGTTATTGTCCATAAAACACTCGTTTCTAAAATAAGAACCTCGTTTAAATTAAAATAATAAAACAATACTTGAAAAAAAAAAAAATGTTTTTTTTTTTTTTTTTTTTATATTATTATTAAAATCACAAAAAAAAAAACAAACAAATCAACAGAATAATTAATGTTAAGCCGGTGAATATTGTAAATCTGAAGAAAGTTCAGCCGGTCTGATTATATCTCTTGATCGTCAAGATCAACTGCAGGCAACGAGCCAAAAAGAAGATGACTTGTCTTTTGGTGGAACTAATGATACTCATCTCAGCGGAGATTTTTTTAAAACTCCCTCGGAAGAAGAATGAGCGAAATGAAAAAATAAAAAATAAATCTAAATAAGAGAGAAACAAAAGAGAAAAGAATAGAGCAGACAGGAATGAAAGTGAATGATTGATATGCTTCTCTTTAAACAGCTTAAATGACTGCGAGTAATGGGAGCAATTTAAAATGACACACAATTTAATTCACCCTGACCATGACTCACGTGACCGGAAATTCGTACTAGATACATTCGGGTTGCGTTTTAGCTTGGACTTCACTTCTCTTCTCTTCCTCGGTGTCTATACGCTGATGAATTAACTTCGGAATATTGTAATGTCCTGGAGATAATCTAAGAGAGCATTGATTATATATTTGATGGATGTAGGCCATCGCCATCATCATCTCACCCGGCTGATAGCCCTGATAGCGCTACTCATATTATTAATCTAATAACGGTATACTGTGCCGGAAGTAACAACAATGGAAATTGATGATCAAAATATTAATGATTCGGGGTTGAGTTCCATTAAGGGGGAAATTTAGAAAAATCAATCATTTTTTTTATGTAAGAGGAAAATATTGAATATTTAGGGAGTTATCTCGCATGCTCGCATGCGTAGCAGATTTAATTTTTTATCGTACTGAAATTTTATTAAAAGTAAATTAAAAAAAAAAAAAACTGTTCTACGGAAATTATTATCAGAATTTTTTTTTAATTTTGTATTTTTTGTAGCTGCAATTTTGTTAAAAAAGATTGCACTATGTGACTGCCGTTACATAAATAAAATTTTGCTTTATTAAATAATGACTTTTGTTAAATTGCACTGTTCTTTCTTAAATATTGACGTTTTTCAAAATATAAGCTCATCTCGATGTTACACTCATCAAGAGCTTTTATTTTAGTACCCACATGCATTTTTGATATATATTTCATATATACATATATATATATATATATATATATATATATA